TGGTATATGCTTAGGAGTGCTCTGTGGGTTTTTCCAAGGATGCCCCCTTCCTTGGACAGGCTTTGCTCTGAGGTAGAGATTGGTTTCTCAAAAATGAAGTCACATTAGTTTCTCATGGGAAGAGCTAGAGCCCAGTCCAAACAGCTCCAGCTCCTCACTGTGACCTCAGGCATCCATTCCGTGGTCACAATTTCCCACATCAACACATGAAGTCACAATGCACAATCCAACTGAATGAAATGCACCCTCAGGGGCCACTCTGGGCACCCAGCAAAGAGCCCAGGACCTCCTGCAATTAGAAGCTGAGACAGAGGACCCAATCTAGCCCAGAGGTGCTTCCAAATTGCCCAGATTTGCAGGTGCAGAGGGGGGAAGCCTGATGGGACAAACCTGACTCAATAAGACATGTCATGTGCCAAGGGATCAAGTCTCAGCTTGTGGCTTTCACTAGCAATGAAGGCCCCACCCTCAGGACCCCCTCTCCTCCCCAAAGCCCTTACATCCTAACACCATCACCTTGGGGGGTAAAGATTTCTATATAAGACTTTTGGAGACATCCACACTCAGGTCATTGCACTGGTCAGAGGGCTGGTGGTCACTGTATTAGTCTCCCTGGGCTTTTGTTACAAAACATCCCAGCCCGGGGGGCTTACAGACCACAGACCCTGAGTACTCATTGATGACCTCAGGCTACCACCTGAAGCCAACTCCACCTCTGCCTGATGGCCAAAGCCATCTCCAGCCCAGTGGATCTTGGGATAAGGAAAGAGATGGCAGCTGGTCAACCCTAGGAGCCCTACTTCCTCCCTATCTCCCATGCTGTGTAGAACAGAAACCCAGCACATTGAAACAGCTGTGTCCCTTGTCCTCTGAGACCTTCAGCATCCTCTAGGCTGGGTCATCCCCTCCAGGTCCAACCACATCCTAGACTCTGTTGTCTTTGTAGCCCAGGTTCCCACAGAGACTCCAAGTTCTTAACCCATAAGTGTCAAGCATTCAATTCTGTAAATGTATCAACAAAATTACATTTACTATTATTATTATTATTCTACTACCACCAGGGATTGAACCTGGGGTGCTTTAGCACTGAGCTGCATACCCAGCCTTTTTTTTTTTACATTTTATTTTGAGACAGACTCTAAGTTGTTTAGGGCCTTGCTAAATTGCTGAGGGTGGTGCCCAAGTTGCAATCCTCAGCCTCCCGAGTCACTAGAATTATCAGTGTGCACCACTACACCTGACTTCAACATGATTTTTGACATTGTGCATTAAATAGGCTGGAAATCATAATGTAGATCTTATGTTTTATTACATTATGATTTTATTATATATAAACTTATTATACAACAATAATCTCTGTTTGCTGTATTGAACTTTCTCACCTTCTCCTATCTGAGCAACCTCCTTAAAATACCTCTCCAGCTCCCTCTGGCCCTAGAGCACTGTAACCCAAGATTATGCTCAGTACATTTGATATCTGTCTAACAGCACCCAACATACTTACTTTCTGTGGTTCTTAGAGATCTCTGCTCTCAGAACCCAAGGTCTCCTCAATGAACATAGTCTTTTCTGCCCTGGTGGTGCACACCTGTAATCCCAGCTGCTTGGGAGGCTGAGGAAGGAGGGTTGCAATTTGGAGGCCAGTCTCAGAAACTTAGTGAGGCCCTGAGCAACTCAGCAAGATCTTTGTCTCTCTGTGAAATATAAAAAAGGGCTGGGGATGGGCTCAGTGGTTAAGTACACTAGGTTTAATCTCCAGTACCAAAAAACAAAAATAAAAATTAAGAGGAAAGAATCCATACAACCTTCTGGGCTGCTAATCTAGGATGTTCACAGGTGAGATTTGGCAAATGCATTCCTAATGTACTGTATTTGGGGTTTCTGGATGTAACCCAATCTGTAAGTCTGGGTGCACATGGAAATGCAAATAATTCAAATTTGCAAATTAAAAACAAAGACCTTGGGCTGGGGTTGTGGCTCAGTGGTAGAGCACTCTCCTCATCACCACATAAACATAAAATAAAGATACTGTGTCCGACTACAACTAAAACAAATAAATTAAAAAAGAAAAAAAAAAGACCTTTTCTCCACCTCCAGCACCCTCTGGGGATTTCATTTCTGAATTGAGGGTGGGGGGGTGAGCCTCCTGCCTCATTTTCAACAAACATCCCACGCACCCCAAGGATTTGGGGCAGCCCAGATCTTTCAGAGGCTCTGATTTGGTCTGGTAAAAATACAGAACCGATTTGGAAAAGTGAAAAAAGATCATCTGTCGGAGCGGAAGAAGCAGGGTCCGGCCAAGAGCACCATCAAGGAGGTACCCAGTAAGAAGACCCCTTGGTCAAGGTCCTGAGTGCAACCATGGAGCAGGGAGTCCGCACCCTACAGATCCCAAACGCCAAACCTGGTGGAGCTGAACTCGCACGGATCGTGTGAGGGGGGTGGGGCTGTCCCAAGACGCTTGCTGAGAATAAGAAATGGGGTCCCTGCGCCGCCCTGGCTGCCTGGGGGCTCACCGCGCTCAGGCCCCAACCGGATTAAACAGCTCCAGAAGCCCCAGCTTCCCCGGGCGGCGGGGACCCAGGAGAACGAATTTCCCGTCCCCACCTCCCAGGCCCAGAGTTCGGAAATTAATGGGATTAAGACCCGGGGCCCAGGCGCGCGCCCAGGAGCCCGGGGGTGGGGTGGGGGCGGAGACGCCAGCGCGGCCGGGTCTGCGTCACGGTCCCGCCCCGGCGCAGGCGCGCAGGCTCGGGATCCACCACGCAGAAAGGCGCTGCCGGCCCCTAGGGACGTGCCTCCGCCTCCGCTACCGCCAGGTGCGGGACTCCGTGGTGTGGAGCCACTCAGGTCCGGGGAGGGGACGAGACCCTGGGCAGGAGGAGGCGGTGCCGGGAGACGGCGAGTCGCCGAAACCCAGCCCCCGGCTCAGAGAGCAGCGCTGGGGTGGGGCGCAGAGGGAGGTGGGGGGCCGAGCAGGAGGAGGGGCGCAGGCCGAGCAGGAGGGGGGCCCGGGTCGAGCCGCGGAAACTGCGCCCGTGACGCCTGCGGGGGCCGCTCCCGGATCGAGTGGGGTGACACGCCCCACCCCAGGGCCTCGGAGACTCGCCTCCCCACGCTGAGACCCTCGGGCCTCCGACCCACTCCAAGACCCGCTCCCTGCCCCCTCACGGCCTGTGTCCCCCCCACACCAGGTCGACACAAATGCGCTGGAGTGTCCCCCCACTAAGACCCGCTCTGCCCCTCCCATTCTGAGCCGGGACCCTTCCCCATGGCCAAGTCCCACAATCTCTATAAGGAAAGCCACCCTAACACGGCCGTGACCCCCCACACGCACATTTTTTAACACATGCAGCCCAATGCCCCTGTCTGCCCTATGCAATTGAACCCCTCAGTGTCTCCCCAACCATGGGCTTGAGTCCCCTCCCTAAACTATGGCCTGTCACACTCAGTAATGTCACACACAACACTGCCCCTCCCCCAACATGGCCCTAACCCCCCCCCCCCCCCCAGCCAGACTACTGTCTTGTCCCCTCTGCAGACAGCCTTCATGCCCACTCACTCCCTGAAAACCACCCTGTCCCCACCAGGGCCCTGCTTAAGCGCCCCAGGCATGCCCTGTGCCCCCTCTCTGATGTTGCTGGTGAGTCCCCAGGAACAGTCTAAGCCACTGCTGTCTGACTGCAGGGCCCTCCCCCCCCTCCCCCCCTCCCCCCCCACACTCTCTGTTCCTCCAACATTAGGGCCTTGGCGCCGCCCCTTAGCTGCCTAAGTCAAGCCACAGTCCATTGCTGGGCCCATCTATCTAACCGGTGCCAGCTCCGTGGTGCCCAATACTGTTACCTTCCTGTGGGTAATTTAGGTTTACCTAGCTCTTCTTTCTCTGTTTTTTTTTTTTTTTTTGAAGCAGCAGTTTCAATGATTGCTTTTAGCTCCTTTTCAGAAATGTGCATTGGATGACTTAGATACCAATACTGCACCACTTCTAGTGTTCTCTATGAATTTCCCATGATGCTTCCTAGGCAGGATGCAGATGGGCTTGTGGCTTTTCTTGAAAATGTTGGTGCATCTGAAACCTTGACATGGAAAGAATACACTGGAGGGAGACTTCCTCCTGAGAGACAAAATGAGGTCAGTCTGTGCAGTAGAGGGACATGTGTCAATGAGGCAAGTGAGTGTGAGCTCACAGTCATTAGACCCACAGGTGTCTGAAGCCTAAGTCCTACAGATAATACTGAATCCTACATACACTTTTCCCTTTATTTACATACCTATGATTATCCTTCTATAAAACCTGAAAGTGCTTGTCAGCACCTGAAGACAGCATAAGGGCAGGGTTTCCTTGTCTTCCTGGTGTAGCTGCACTGGTCAAAGTTTCTTTCCTGTTTTGCATCATGACCTTTTCTGTTTGATATTGGGGCATACACCTGACCAGACCTGGATCCCCAGAGTCAGGTCTCTACATAAGACTTCCTAACAGTCAAAGTAGAACATCTACACTAAGCACAAGGCACCCATTTTATTTCCACCACACATTGCTGCCCTAGAGGATTGCCTTCCTTCCTCCCTGAGGACCCTCTCTGCTGGGGATGGAACCCTGAGCATCAGAGCCAACCCCAATTGCTTCCTTTCATAGCTCAGGCTGCCTCCTCAAAGCAACAGAGGCCAGGAGGTGATGAGAATTACTAAAATAGTTTTCAAATTGTTCTCATTTTTAGATATTATGTATGGGTCATACATATGATATCTTTAAATAGTGTTTCAAAAATTTGGAGACTGTGTCTTTCTAAGTTGCTTGAGGTCGCATCAGCTGAAAAAAACTATATATATATATATATATATATATATATATATATATATATATATATATATAATCACATAGTTTTTACTTTTTCTTTGAGGTACTGGGGAATAAACCCAGTGGGGCTTGACCTGGACCTCTGAGCTACATCCCCATCCTTTTCATTTTATTTTAAGAGAGGGTCTCACTGACCTTGGGCTCCTCCAGCCTCAGCCTCCCCAAGTAGCTATGGTTTGTTTTTGTGTTGAGGTTAAACCCAGGGCCTCGCAATGCTTGGAAAGCACTCTATGACTGTTGCACACATATAGCAGAGCCACATGGCACCTCTGTACCAGAGGCTAAGCCAAGGCTTCCCACCTGGATTAGTTCCCAGCACAGCCGGAAAGCTCCTCCTGAAAAGGGCTGGGGCCAAGAATCTGTCACTAACCCAATTTCAGCCAGTGATTGGATGATGTTAGCTGTCAGTCACGATGCAGAGGCGGGCCTGGAGGCCATCCATCAGGGTCGCTGGGGGGAACTGTCCAATCAGTGCGCAGAGGATGGGGAAGGCCGGGCTTCCGCAATCTCGCGGGCTTTTCTTCCTCAGCTACTGGGCTACTCCTTCTCCAGGCCCCGAGTTCTCTGCTCCAGGGATCCAGGCCAGCGACTCTGCGCAGCCTGTGTCCTCGGAGATCTCGGGTGCCCGGAGGTTCCTCGAGAGGACGCCGGGTCACCACAGAAGACAAAAATGGTGAGTTTGCGACCAGGGCTGAAGGTGCAGCGGTCAGCACCTGCCTTGGGGCCCTGTGCGCGGGTGAGCTGCTGAGGCAGTGGAGTCCCCGCTGGGGGGTGGCCCTGGGCTCTGTCCCCTGATATCGCGGGGTGAGCTGGGTTTTGGGTTTTTGAGGTCAGCTGCTGAGCGCCGAGGAATCCCCGCTGTCAGGTGGCCCTGGGCCCTGACCCCTGGTTTCCTGAGTTTGGAAGGGTGACTCAGGTCCCTGGTGTCCCCTACACTCTACTGGTGGCCCGACCCACTCTTCCCAACGTGTAGGAAACAGGGCCACAAATGCACCCTCCTTCTCCCAGGGGAGCTCCTCCGGAGGCTGCTGTAGGTCCCCCAAATTGCAGGCGCCTCCTGCCTTCTAAACCCCACCTTCCCTCCACCTCACAGCTCGGCCAGATGTTCGTTCTTCCCACTCGGTTCAAATGGACACCGTCCGCTAATTGTCACTTTTCATCTAGTGAAATATTGGAGAGAACATTTCTTTTCTTTTTAATTGGGGATCCAAACTCAGGGAGCTTTATCAGCCACATCCCCAGCCTCCCCTTTTATTTAATTTTGAGGTGTCCTCCCAGTTGTTGTGGAAGCTGGCATCCACCTTGTGATCCTCCTTCTTCAACTTCCCAAGACCCCTTCCCACTGCCCCTGGCAAGAATACCTCTTTTGAAAGAAGTGGATTAAAAAAATCTAGTTACATTTCCGTTGTTAAAAATCCTAATTTACAGTCAGGTGCAGTGGTGCACACCTGTGATCCTCGCAGCTCCAGAGGATGAGACAGGAAGATTGCAAATTTCAGGACAGCATTAGCAACTTAGCTGGGCCTTATGCAACTTGATGAGACTGTGTCTCAAAATGCAATATAAAAATGGCTGGAAAGTGGCTCAGTGATAAAATGACTCTGGGTTTATCCCCTGGTACCATAACAGCAACAACAACAACGAAAAAACTAATTTACCTTTTGCTACCCCTGTAGTTTTCCTTAAGTTCAACTTTGTGAGATTCAATTTTGTCTGAAATCCAGGTCCTAGATTCCATAATGCCACTTAGGATAGAGAGAAACTCTGTTTTGCATTATTGCTGCAGAATATGAACCGATTTCTACAAAAAATAGTGGTGGATAAATTTATGAATGTTATTTCTTGAAAACATTAGTTTCTGTCCTTTACAAGGTGGAGAATTTGACAGGGGATGACAGTTTGTTGCTCTTGTTGTCTGGACTTGACAAGTTCCTGTTAACTGTGTGTTTTTTTGGTATCAGGAATGCAATCCAGAGGTGCTTAACCACTGAGCCACATTCCCAGCCCCTTTCAGATTATTTGTTTTAAGCCAGGGTCTTACTACATTGCCTAGGGCCTCTGGCCCCTGCACATCTGTGGTTACAGGTGTACACCATTGCACCCATCTTCATTGTAAATTTTAAGGATGATTTTGGCAATACCTAAAATACCCAACTGTGATCATTTAACCACTGGATAATTTATCAGTGAAATAATAAATGACACCCATTTTCTGGGTAGGAGAGATACATGTGTCTAAATAAGGGTGCTGATCCCCTTCATGAGCACTCTCACCTGATTCCTGTTCACTGCCAACTGCCTCCTCCTAGGGCCACCCCTTTGGAAATTGGCCTTTTAGCTTATGAAACTGGAAGTAAGATAAATGCTCTCTCTACTCACTCTGTTCTGTACAACATTTTGGCTGTTCTTAGATGCAGTCTACTATTCCCATTTTTAGATGCAGTTTTTCTTAAGTTCACCCAAAAAACACAGGAAACCATGCCCTAAAGTTCATAGAATTTACTGAAATGTTCAGTGTTTTTTTCAGAGAGTGTAGATCATGGGAACATTCAGTCTCCTTTGTGAGAAAGTGTGTTGTCTTTCTATTGATTTTGTTGTATTTTATGCCTCTCATTGTATACCTTTTTTATTGTAATCATTTTTTATCACTCATTACATGTATTTTAATTAGTTAGTTAGTTTGTTTTGTTTTGTTTGTTTTGTGTGTGAACTGCTGGGGATTGAACTGAGGGCCACATGCATGCTTGGCAAATTCTCTACTACCAACCAAGCTACTCTCCAGACCAAGAAAATTAATATTATGGACTGTTTTTTATTTATTTGCTTACTTACTGAGTACTGGGGATTGAAGCCATGAACTTGCTCATGCTTAGTTATCCTCCAAAAAAGAATTTCAACTTTGTGAACAGTATTTTGGAGGTGGGCAGGTGATTTCCTGGGGAATAAACCACTGAGCATATCCTCAGCCCTTCTTCTTATTTATTTATTTTTATTTTTTATTTTATTTTATTTTTATTTTGTATAGTTGTAGATGGACAGAATATCTTTATTTTGTTTATTTTTCTGTGGTGCTGAGGATCATACCCAGTGCCTCACACATGCTAGAAAATGCTCTGCCACTGGGCTACAGTCCCAGTCCCTTCTTTTTATTTTTGACGAAGACCAGTCTCACTAAATTTCTGAGTGTCTTGCTAAGTTGTTGAGACTGGCAACAAACTTGCCATTTTTATGCCTTAACCTCCCTAGTTGCTGAAATTGCAGGTGCACATTGTTGTGGGGCAGGTCCCTCAGAAAACATCAAGTCCCAATTCTGTCCAAATTGAAGAGTCTTTATTTAGCTGGCCAGCCGGCGATGGCTCCCCACAGGACCCATAACTTTCTCTGCAAGGAACAGCTCCAAGCCTGAGCATTTTAAGATATTTAAAGGTAAAAACTCCATCTGGGTTGACACAACTATAAGTAAGCAGGTGCAGAAGCTGAATTGGGCATTTAGCGAGACCATGCAATGGGTACATTGGTATTTCCCGCAGGACTTTCCAGGTTGGCGGAGCAGCAAGCCTGCAGAAGGGAAGTGGGTCAAAATGACCCTAGTTCAGTACAAGTTATACAATGGTTATTAACATCTAGACAATCAATCTCTGACAAGGTATGTTGGAATAACTTTCCGTTTGTAGCTAGCAGCTATGAGCAGCTCAGAGTGCTTGAAGAATCTCCACTCGTTCAGGCCTGATAGGAAGGGCTGCAGGATGGGATGCTCTGCTCTAGTGAGCCGTAGTGAAACCACATCCTTAGCTTTGTGGTTAGCATTGCCAAGCTGCCAGGCCAGGAAACTGATAGCCAGGAGCTTCGACATGGAACTTCTTAGAAACCCCCTTCCCTAGGGACAAAGACCCTTCCTGATGATAGCCATATTTAGAGCACCCTCATAGTGTGGTTACATTAGGCATAAGATGATTGGCTTATGGATACTATCTTGCTTGTGTACGATTGATGGGCACGCCCACTCCCCCCCTCCACGACTAAGGTAGCCGAGAAACTAATTGACCACATCAGTAACCAGAATGACAGCAAAGGTACATTGCCCAAGAAAAATGGAAACCAAAGGGAACAATTTCGCATTATATAAGAATTGCTACTTTCAAGTATGTTATGCTAGGTAACTATTAGGGGGTACAGAGGAGGGGCTTTTCCACGGGAGAAGCATTTCTTACATGATATGGAGTCTCAGGGTAAAATGGTGTCTGTTTGGTCATTGTCCATACAGCCTCACCCATAACAACACCACCACACCAGCACTTAGAATGCCTTTTAAAGACTTATCATCCCATTTCTCTCCAGTATTGAAAATCATTTTCCTTGCTTTTCTCTCCAGTTTTGAAATTTGTAACTATGACTCTTCCTCTTTCCTTTATTTTTTGCATTATTATGAAAAAGGTTTTCAGTATGTAATATTGTTTCTTGGGTATATATTTGTGAGACTTGATGGCAAGATATTTATCCACTTTTTTTTATTAAATAAACTTTGTTTTTATGAGCAATTTCAGGCTTACATAGTTTATTAGTCGGTGTTCTCTAGAGGAACAGCATCAAGAGGAAGTGTGATTATAAAAGGGGACTTATTAGATTGGCCTACTTGACCCAAAGCTGGTGTCCACAGTGGCCATCTGCAGAGTGGAGAGCTTGAGAAGTAGTAGCTGCAGAGTCCAAGAGGCTGAAGCCTCAGATCAAGAGGGATCAATGGTGCTGCCCTAGTCAGACCAAAGGTTCTGGAAACTCCCTGGAGAATCACAGGCAGAGTCCACTTTGGGAGTGTGAAGAAGGCAGAGTCTGATATCCTCAGACCAATGCAGCAGCCATTGGAGAAGAAAGGGGCTTGCTCTGCTGCTGCTTCCTTCTTTTGTTCCACCCAAGACACTGTCCTATTGGATGATGCTGCCTAGCTTAAGGAGGTTTCCCCACCTCAGTTCGCTATCTCACATGCCAATCATTCCTAGACACACCCAGAAGCCCCTTTGTATCAGTATCTCTTAATCCAATCAAGTTGACAATTCAAATGAGCCATTCATTACACATAGTATCAAACATCCCTATCTCCAATTTATAGTCTCCACTGTTTTCAACATCTTGCATTGGTGTAGGATACCAGTTACTGAACCAGTGTTGGACATTTGATGAAGAGAGTGGATGGAGGAACACATTAGGATAAGCCAAAATTTATCCTTTACCTTAGGGTTCCTTGTTTGTGTGATGTGATTGTGTGTCATTTAATTTACACGATAATGTCATACAGAAGAGTTTCACTGCTCTGGGAATCCTGGGTTCCCCCTGTTCATCACTCCTCCTCATTCCTTCCTCCCTCTCTGCTCCCTGAGTCCCTGGCACCCATCAGTTCTGCTAGTGCATCTATAATGTTGTCTTTTCCAGAATGTTCTAGACTTGGAATCTTACTGCACTTGGCCATTTCAAACTGGCTTCTCTCACTTACCAGTCTGCTTTTAAGGGTGCTGTATCTTTCCAGGCTACAGAGCTCATTTACTGCATGACATTCTTTGGTGTGATTAAACCACAGTTTGTCCATTCAGTATTGAAAGTGACAACTTCCTTGTATCTAGCTTTGGGCAGTTCTGGATATGACTGCTATAGTCACAGCTGTGAGGTTTTCTGTGCACATAA